CAGGCCCTGCTGGCGCTAGTGTTTTTTGAAAGTACCATGCATTTTCCTTGGGTTCAACCTGCAGAAAGATGCATGCAAAGCAAGGTATAAGAGAGCCCTACAAGTGACCACACACAGCAATTATCAGGCAATTTCAATCAGGTTTTGATTGCAAAAACAGATAGACCCACTGTACCATCTCTGCCTTACAGCATACCTCATTTTGGCAAATGTTACATCAATCAGTTTTATTTCTTTACAACCGAAATCTGGCTAAAGCTGGACATACATTATGCAAATTTCGGCGGCCGCTATAATACCAAAGAAACAGTGGGGATTCCGCAATCAACACGCTCGTAGTATTGATAGAGGAATCTTTTCTGTTTTTTTTTTCCATTCGTTCAGCCCATGGGTTGAACGAAAAAAAAAAACATAGAACATTATATAGCCAGCTTAAGAGTGTTTGAATTTGGTAGCAAATTGCTATGTATACCCAGCATAAGGGTCACTGTGCTTTGTTTCTTGTACTGTTTACTGGGAATGCTCAAAAAACTCAATACAACATTTTATTTTAGGTTTACATGTGGCAATGAATTGTTCTGATACACATAATAGAAATTGCCTCAACCAGATGAAATATCTTTGCCTACATGATTAAATAAAATGTGTCTTTACATTTTCTCTGTCTCAACACTTGCAATTAAACTGATCAGTTTACGATGTATAAACCTTTGCATATGGCAATCTATACGAAATCATTTTACGTTAATCCTTTTCCCCTGTATGATTGGATTACACTAAAATTAAATTATTTTTATACAGGATTTATATAGTGCCAACAGTTTGCACAGTGCTTTACAAAATGAAAGGAGACTGTATAGTTATAATACAATTTAAGTGGGCTAGGAGGGCCAAGCTCTTTAGAATATATGATCTCAAAATGGAGGGGCAAGTAGTGCAAAAGCGGTACTCTAGCTGTTGTGAAACTACACAGTAGTCCCATGATGCATTGTAAAACTCTGAGAGCCACAGGCATAACTCCCAAAGGCATAATTGGATTTGTAGTTTCACCACTGTTGTGGTACTAAGGTTGCCTACCCCTGCAATACGGTAAGAAAGCAGCATTTGCCTGAATTAAGAAGATAAACCCTTAAGTAGCTGACTAGGCAGGATATTTCCTAAAAATTCTAATGCATTTGTCACTCTGTAATGTATTTTACACTAGGCACTATACTTCCCATAGCACACCACCAATGATCTGGTTTCACTAAATGCCATGGGCATCATTCAGTGACAATAGACAAGAATAGGCATCAGATGTTTCACCAATAATATCTATCTCTGTGGGTACCAACATGTTTTTACAAACACTGTTGATCAACCAGTCTCACAACAAACATCAAGTAGCTATGTTGCATAAAGTTTGGAGTTTAAGAAGGAACTTTATCCATATCTTTAAAATAACAACAAAGGCACCTTTAGAAATGTTTAGTAATGACAATCTACAAACAGATACTTATAGATACTGTAGTTGCCGGCTTTTTATTCTTTGCATACCTTATTTCTCTTTTCTTCCCCAGGCTTTTCACAGTGGCCATGCTTACTAAAGGCAGATGCATCCATCTACCTTTACTTCCTGGAACTCTGGCACATGTGACTAGGACATGTGACCAAGCACATCATCTCAGTGGAGGAAAATGCCTTTCCCTGAGATCTCCTGAGATTACAGTTGAGATTTCTGCTGATGTAATATTCCCAGGATGCAATGCTTGGTCGGCATTAAGTTTATATCAGCATGCAGATCCGCATGATGGTGTGATTTTTAGTGAAAGGGGGTAAAGGTCCACTTTAAGTGATTTGGCTAAAGAAGAACTACATGCCTTTCCCTGAGATTTTGGGAGATTTTGCAGTTTACAGAGATTTTCCAGCAATGCTCTATGATGTAACCTTCCAAGAATGCATTTCTTAGGCATGGGCTACATTACTAATACCGAAGAAGATCAGGAAGTGGAAAAACAGTTATTGCAAGTTTAAAAACATGTTTATTTAGCTAATGAATGTAAGATGATTTTATATCAGCATCCAGAGCTGTATGCTGATGTGAATTTTAGTAAAAGGGGTAACCGTCCACTTTACGTTATTAAAGTTGCAAGCTTTTGGGATCTCTTAGGTCCCTTCTTCAGTCTTTATACAATTTTGAAAATGGTTCTGAAACCCACATATTAATGTACAGAGTTATAAGGAGGACCAATAAAATATAAATAATAATAAATAAAAAACAACTAGGGTAATCTCCTAGTCAATTACTGAAACAACACCTATAAACTTTGATTACTATATATTTAACATGCCACTAGACTCAGGAGTTAAATCTGAAAAATGCATTCAACTATAATAGTTATAACTTAACCATTAACAGAAATGTTGTTTATTTGTGCATCACTCGGCTGTAGATTCTCTAATCATCTCTGAATTGGTGCTGACATTGTCCTTCCTTCTGAAGGTGGCTACTTTTGTTCCCCATGGTCCTTGTGTGTTGTAAATTAGTCACCACTCCAAGTTCACTCCCATGATGGACTGCAAACTCAATACAAGTACTACTTTACAACACACACACAGGGACCATGGGGAACAAAAGTAGAAACCCTCCAGAAGGAAGGACAGTGTCAGCATGAATTCAGAGATGATTTGAAGGTCTACAGCTGAGTGATATACAAATAAGATACATTTTTATTAATAGTTAGGTACTTGAATGCATTTTTAAGATTTAACTCCTAAATTGAGTGTCACTTTAATCTATTAATAATGACCATTACTTTTCAAGTATGTCAATAAAAATAGGTGTATTTTAACAATGGCTTTATTTTTCTTTATGACATCCATATATTGCTGTAGTACTTCATGTACTATGTCTTATCTATATCTTTTTATAGTAGTTCATGTAAATAATGCCTTATCTATAAACTGCTTTTACTGACTACTGTTTTTGATAAGGATGATAAGAATACTAAGAAGAAGAATAGCTAAAAGTTATATGTAAGGATATATATATATATAAATATAAATCGGGAGCTTTTTCAGTTGAACTTACTGATATTGTAGGGGAAATGTTTTTTTCCCCCCTTTGTTGAATTACAAATAACATTCAAGATACATAGACCAAATAGTTTATTCACTTTCACCTCCAGAAACATGCACAAAAACATAACAAAAAAACTGGTATATACATTCTACTCAATTAGCCTGGGAAGCAGCTTTAAATGGAACAGAAATTGTAAAGCCAGTAGGTAGAAATATCAATTTCCTTCATAATACCTTTCTTACCACTATGCTATGTATGAAAAATGCAGACAAACTTGCTTCTGGCAGTGCCTTTCACTTTATATTATCCAATGGGTTACCCAGTTATGTGCATACAGCCATAAAGGTGATCAACCTTCCCATAGATCTCTATTCCCAGTCCATTACACTCCATGATGGCAACACAGAGGACACTGCATAATACTACATTACACACCAGCTACAAGAGAATGAAAAATGCTAATGGAACTCTGCATGGGACGAAGGTGTTATAACTAACTGCCAGAATGTCTGATCTGTATTTATGCATATCAAGGTTGTATGGAGGAAGAGGAGGAGTAATTCAAGCTACCCGTTTAACAATTCCAGTAAGGTAAACTTGACAAGAGATAAAGACGGGAGATGCCATTGCTGACCTCCTACTGAATATGCTGCTTGCCTGACTGGTATGCTGTCCCTCTGGCATGCACATGAATAAGATTTAGCCAACAGTAGTAATGTACATAAATTACACAGGCTCTGTCACTTAACCATCCAGGAGAACTCTTGGCAAACAGCTAGACAACTTTGAAAGTACACATAACTATATAATGTGTGTGTATGTATGTATGTATGTATGTATGCGTGCGTGCATGTATGTGTGTATATATATATATATATTCTGCATTGTCCACTCCTGCCTAATATGTATGCCATGGCGCTACACACCTGCAATACATGTGCATTTTATGGTTTAGATCTTTAAAGACCCTGCTAGTACAGAGAAACTCCTGCAAATGTAGCAGAAGTAGGCTCAGCTCATTATTCCTGTTGTGGGCTGAAAACTTTTTTTGTAGACTGAATGCTGTCAGTCCTGCCCAATTGTCTTTTGCTATGCTACTAAATCATGCCCCTTTTTCTAATTTCCACAGTATAAGCCCTAATTGATCTGTAGGCCCAAAATAAGAACCGGGAGGGCTAATTACACTCCTTAAGATAAAACAGGAAATGAACACTAGACAGCTATGCATTTCTGAGCAGATCAGTAGGCATTTATTTTGCACTTAGTTCACAGGTATGATAAATCTCTTTCAATTGTTTATTTAACAGACCAAAAGGGAGCAAATATGAGATTTTAGGGCTTTAGGTAAACAAATGAATAATGATAACTTTACTGCATCGTTTTTTTGAAACAAAACTGTGTTCCTCTATAAAAACTGAATTACAGATTGGAGGTGTTACCTATATGAAGCAGAAAGCAAGCTAAAACCTGACAGGTTGTTAAAGGCAAGCGTTCTATTTTCCTTATGAACTGTGCCTGCCATTCAGCGTTAACAAGTCATTATTGACATTCTTTTAGCCTGGCAAATTCTGGTACATGTCATTACCCTTGATCACTATGCAAGAATAGATCCCATGTACAGTGATTATTCAGAAACCAGGATGGCACATCCCTGTACAGGACAGAGACAAAAAGCGGGAGGGTGTAGTGTTTCAAGACTCCAATAGCAACCGGACGACTGTATTTACTGTGGGTTGATTTTTAAATCAAGTGTGAACAGTTTGCTTGTTTTCTGGCACGCCCAAAGAAATGACATTGCTCCTAGGATAAAATACTATGGCCAGGAAAAAAGCCCTAGTATGCCTGTGCTCATAACAGAATACAATGGATATGCCTGGAGTGCATACCGCCATTTATCTCTGCCCACCTTCCATGTCAGCTGCATTAAACACGATCATACCTGGGAACACTTGTTAGATACGTCAGTACATTCTGAAACTCCATCTCTGGGATCTCGCTGAATGCAGGGTATTCTGGGAAAGTGATGACAGGACACCCATTTTCTCCCCTTCCACCTAGAATAAAAACATATTTCACTTTAGAATGAAACACCATTTTCTCTCACATATGGTAAACAGAGCCTGTCGCTAGACTATTTATTTCCGTAGCAATCTTCCCATAAGATTATATGTGCATTAATGTATTTTATGTATGACACTTAGCTGTAAAAACATCCCTTGTGTAGACAGCTAAAAACCCCGAGACTGTTGCAATGTTTCACCATCTTGGAAATGAGGTCAGCAATCCCAGCAACACAAGAGCTTGCACTCAATAGTATTCTCCTGTGCGCCTTCCCCGGCAGCTACATAAACGTTTATGTGGGGAGGTAAAGGGAGGAATGGAGATGCTGGGTCAGCTCGGACAGTAAGTCCTCATTCACAGGGACCTGCAGAGCCATACAGTATTCACATCCATGCAGAAACCTGCACCCGGGAAAGACCACTGGTGCAAGTAATCACCTGTATAACTCAATGGCAGGACATCTCAACTTGACTGATGGTATCACACTTCCCGAATGAGTCTTCATAACTCAGATTAAACTAATTGTTGAAAAAAGGGATGTCTTTGTTATGCCTGTGTGGCGGGACAAAAATGTCTTTGGGCAAAAATTGGTATTGGAAAGACAGGAAGATAGGAAGTTGGTGGATGATTCAACACACAAGGTTTCAATCAAGAAGATCCTAATTTACGTGTCCCATGAAAAAAAAAAAGCAACAGACGGTTCAGTGGCCTTTAACAGAAATCAAAATGTCCTAATGAATCAAGGAAAAAGGTTGTGGAAAGCCAACAAAGACAGCAAGAATAGATTTTTACATTTTATAGAAACATCAGCCCATACTTTAACGTACATTCATGTTTTTAGACCTGAAAAGACAGGAAAGTACATAGCAAAGGGGCATTGCTGATGATTTGGGCTCAAGAAATAATACATGCTGTTTTTACTAACAAACGCTAGAGGGAGCTAAAAGACAAAGTGAAATCCCCAAAGAACGGTTCCATTCTCTTAATGTTACATATCTGAAGGTTACAGAGAGTATACACATATATAAAGCAGGAACTTCTATTTCTGGATTGTTTACAGAAGTATGATTCAGGGACTCGCCTCTTGATCCTAGATTTATTATTAAGCGAGTCGATAACCAGGAACAAGCATAATGCCAGTGAAGTATTAAAAGTATTACCTCCTATGCTGTATCCTTGTCCTAGATCAGGTACTCACTAGATAGTGGTGCATGGATCAGGATGACAACACTTTTTTTGAAATCCTTAATTTAAACACATACAAAATGAACATTTTACACAACCATGTTTCCCTGAAAATAAGACACTGTCTTATATTTGTTTTGGCTCAAAAAACACACTAGGTCTTATTTTTGGAGTAAGTCTTTTTTTTAAAAATGTACAACAATCCACACTTATTTATGTAGAAAAGTCTACATGTATTCATGTAAAAAAATATGGTGATCAGGGCAATCGGGGGTGCCGTACCTTTCCAAGTGCAATTTGCTAACCAATCGCTGGCCAGAATGAGCGAAGCACGCTTTCACTATCGATTCCTGGCAGGCGGAGTGCATTTGGTATCTCTCCGCCTGTGACAGGAGCCGGCGCTGTAGAGGAGGCATCGGCTTATGCGGCTCTGCTCCCTCCACTGCCGCCTCGCTTCCTCTAGCGCTGGCTTCGTTGGCACCACTGATTCTCTGCCGCGGCTCTTCAATTTCCCCCTTATGCCACCACTGGCCCTGGGAATGGTCACAACTAGGTCTTATTTTCGGGGTAGGTCTTATATTTTAGCAATTCCCAAAAATAGTACTAGGTCTTATTTTTGGGGTAGGTCTTATTTTCGGGGAAACAGGGTAGTTTACAAGCATGCAACTCCTTGTGCATATATAACATTTCAAAACAGGAAGAAGGTTACAATAGTAAAAAAGGGCGAGAGCGTCAGGATAAAAACAGCATGCACATGTTGGTGAACTTTGCTCCGCATTACTTTTTATACTAGAGACTGCACCTTGCAAAAATAAATAACGGCAGCTCCCATATTTCTGTCCTCAAAGACTCCCCATTTAGTAATTATTAACACTCCTGTCCAACACCCACATTAAAGAAGTGGTCTTTGTTTGCAGAAACAGCAATATTTACGCTGTCTTGTGATAGGCCGGCCAGCATGCCAGCTATCTGGCTACAACATATTCTAGCACAATGACCAATATAGAAGCTTTTAGCAATCAGAATAAAACAGAAAAATCTACAATGAGGGTTGCTAATCATAGTACTTTTTCATACTGGATGATCTTGAATATTTTACAAATTTCCTGGAGCTGATGTATGAAATGTGTGCTGTAGGGGAAACATAATTTTGCCCACAGCAACCAGTCAGAACCCATGTTCTTGAGAAATAAGAGTTGGTGGCTCACTGGTTGTTATAAGCGAAATGTTCTTGCAGCACATCTTTCATACATCAGACCCACATTTAATAGGAGGTATAAGGGATGATGATACATGGATGAAATCATACACACAACTTATGAAACTAAACTATATACAGCTTCTAGAACAGAACAGGATGGACTGTGTAGATACAGTTTATTTGGTAATAATTATATTCTATTTATCACCAGTATAATCCCCTGTACTGCCCAGTGAGTGGATGGATATGCAGACATTCTATTAAAAGGAACATAGCTCCCAACTAGAGAGCTACTTGGTTCCAAAAAAAGAGACTTTTTGGAACAAAATCCCTCCATCCCTCTTTCCTTCTGAGTCGTTCCTCTTTTTGGTATAGCCCTCTATATAAAAACAGTGTTATACTACAGTAAACCATAATCCAGCCTCTAAATTATTGATTTTTTTTTTATTTTCAAAGACCAGTATAAAGGAAAAGCACGGATGAAAAAAAGCCCTTTTGGGTTTAGCCAATCAGTTTTTGCGTATTATTTCTCTGTGGTCCATGTAATTGGGGACATGGGAGTTGTGTGCTCATTGCCTACATATTTTGTGCTAAAAAGTGTCTCTCTGTCGTTTTAAAAGGATGGGAGGTACGAGTAGTGGAAAAATTAAGTAAAAGAAAGCCCATGTGTTCTTTTTTTTTACCCTTTTTAGGAATTGCTTTCACAGGTCTTAGCATTTTGGGCAATGCAATGAGAGAATATCCAATGAACTGTGACAAAAAACACATGGCTCTGTCATCTCTCACTGGAAAGAAAACGACAATAAAAGGTTAACGTGTGTAGGCTTAGTTACACAATGACAAATATCCTGCATGCTACATTTCACCTGCAGTGCTAAGTGTACAGCCACGTATCCGTAAACCATTGGATCATACCACACCTTAACAATATGTTTGTATAGCTGATCTATAAAATGTCACCAGTGTCCAAAATGCTAAACAAAATTACATACATGAAGGGAATACTATAATACCTAAAAGGAATTGGTCACCGATGAAGAAGCACTTTGACACTGAACAGGTCACTATTAGACAAAGGAACATGCTTGTGTCAAGTCTGTCAGGGCACTGACTTATGTTACTGTGTATCTGCCAAACTCTCTCTGTGAACGGCAACTTCTTGGCACAAAGCAGTAACAAAGATTTCTGACTATGCAGCTTTCTTCTACAGATTCAGATTTGAAAAGATGCTGCGCAAACTGTTGATTTTTCACTGCTGGTTACCCAAAAAGGAGCAGCATGCATTTAATAAGCGCAAGTTATTGGTATTTCTTCAACATTGATCACACCTTGATCTTTCCTAATATGTCACAATAGTCAGGTCAGTTGCAATGCTGTTAACATGCATTATTTCGCAAATTGGTGTGCTTTGGGTTCACAATAATTTAGCTAGGCACTAGTGATGAGCCGAACTGGTCCGAGTTCGGTTAGAAATCGAACTTTAGAACATGGGGGGGTGGGGGGTGGGGGGGGGGGGTAGAACTTTCAAAAACAATTTTCCCCTCCCAAACAATACCAGACCCTTCAGGTCTGAAATGAGTCACACAGTGCAGGGGCCCACCACCAATTTATTCTAACCTGCCCACTGTTGAATGACATAAAACACTTGTTTAGTTACACAGATTTTTCAGTATGTTGTAGGTTGTCTGTGTTTAGTGAAGAGCACGTCATTATTCTACTTTGCTCATCTACTAAATCAAAAATAGTGCATGCACCATTTTTTTGCGATTTCATTGCAACCGCGGGCATTGCTGTACCAAGCGTTCTGGTGCAGGCAGGAGGCGTGGCTGTGGTGCCCTCCTGCCACAGAACGCAGGAGGCTTTAATTATGCTATCCAGAGCGTTCCAGCCACTAACCGCGCCAGAACGCACTGGATGTGAACCGGCCCTTATTGGTGGTGCTTGCATAGGTTGCTTTGTTTACCTTATTTAAGTTGTGTAGAGTCGCCATAAGAAAGGTATGTGATGTGACTATGTGGCAAAGAGGACCTACAGTATGTAGCAATTAGAAAAAAATAAAAACTCCATAGCACTTTTGTTTTAAATTAAAATCTGAAATCAGAAATTACACCTCTAAAGCTACAGGCATGAACTTTGCCACCAGAATTATGGTATTCTATTCTGATTTTGGGTCTGACTGAGAGACTTAGTCCACAGTTGAGCAGCTGGCCAGTGGGGGAAGAACATTATTACCACATCAAGGAGGACTATAGATGCTATTTGGTTTTATGGACACCTTAAAAAGTCAGAAAGGCATTCCAGGGTTTCAGGGGTATCTGCATTTTATTTATTTCTTTTTCAGACTTAGAATTTTTTGTTACATGGAAAGGTTGCTTTAATGTCAAACTACTATGAGTAGGAATCATCAGAAGTCTGCATGAAAACAACAAGTGGAGGCTCCCTGCCAAGGCCAGGGCGACAATGCCAGTGGGGACAGCACCAAGCCAATAGTAAGTGTCCTGGATTCTAGACACTCTGCAGAGTGGCAGCAGGTACCCTGAGATAGTACGCTCTATGTTCAAACACCAGGCACTGCTTGAGCCAGAATCATGGGGGAGGCTTTGGAAATGAATATCCTCATGCACAGCAGTGCAGCGTCACACAGAGCTTTAGTCAGAATGGGCATATTATGGCACTTCCAGTCTCCTTCCAGGTCCAAAGTGCTTGATTGTCTTGATTGATTGGGTTTGGATGAAGTAATTCCCGCAAATGCAGGAGTTACATTTTCCTGACACCAACAGCATGCCAAGATTGTACACTAAGCTGGGCATGTGTGGCTCAGTGCTAAATGCTAGTTAGTACTGGCAGTTAAGAATCATGTATAGCAAGAGAGACATCCAGAGTCTCCTCTGCCATTAAAAGCCACCTGTTAGTCATTTCTTTTTAATTCGCTTAAGTTCTGCTTTAATTAGGCAAAAGAGAAAAATATACAAAGTACAGTAACCACAGCAACCAATCAAAAATCACTTTCCTATCCTACTGATTGCAATAAAACATATGCAGATCGAAGTCTGCTTAGCTGCTATTAGGAAAGAAAACTTGTAGTTCAGGGCATTTGTAATAATAAACATTAATGCCAACCACTGCACATTGTTTTTTAAACAGCTGTAAATCCAAATAATATTCCCAGTTTCCTGTATTAGGACAACGTACCTGACAAATAGGCAAACTGCTGCTTCAGCTGATCCTCAATTTCTGCTGCACACATTGGGAAGGTGTCCTGATGCATGATGTCATCTGAAAGACAGAAAACAGCCAATTAATGAACAGTGATAACATTATTTGCTGCTGCACAGCATCAATGAACTGCATGTGAAATTTCCCTATACTTTAGCAGAATATTTAATCATTGCATTGCTGTGCAGCTAATTTTTACTTATTGCAGGCCAAAGCAACAGACTCAGTGTAAAGGCAGCCCTGCCCGCTGCTTCTTTTTTCTTTGCTTGCTTGGAGAGAAGGACATGCCCACGTGTGACAGTATTGGGAGCCTAAGCAGCCAATTAGCAAATTGGGGAATGAGTCACGTGATTCCCATACACAGAATCCATGGTTTTGGGTTTTTTTTCACTCCCGGTGGCCCAACGGTAAGCGAATAAAGGGAAATATAAGGTGAAGGCTGCCATTAAAGTGAACTTGTTGCTTTTTCTTAAATGGCTAAACACATTGCCTTTTTAATGGCAATCATGGTTAACATTTTACACTGAGATAAGCTCTGGCTGGTTTTAAATAACAGAGAACATTAAAGGAAGTGAAAAAGAACTAGGTATTCTCAGTACTGGAGTCCCAAATAGACAAGATGCTAATGTCTTACCCTTCTACTCAACACTGTAACATTAGAAACAGCAATGTTATCATAGTAAACATGTCTCATTTATTCAGAGTATGTGCTGGTTATCACTCAGGGCCAGTGGGCTATTAATAGTTTCTCACTGCATCTGATGGGATGTCTCTCTAATGGACATATATCCATTAATAGTCTTTCTAATGACACTTTGTAAAACACAGTAATGCATGCAAGGGCAGTCTCTCCATTGGCAGTGTGACCAACATCATTATGTATCTTATAGCATCCCCTTTAAGTGTGTCTAACATAGCAGTGTACCCAACAGCAGATTCTACAATGTGGCAAAGCATCTAATAGCAACCACTTTTAAAGAGAACTAAAGCCAAGCCTTTGTTTGGCTTCAGTACCTTTTTGGGTCAAAGGAGTACATTTACTAAGGCACTCCTGTGGCCCAAGCTCAGAATATAGCAGGCAACTGCCTGCTATTTGCTGACATCGCAGAGCCATGCAGCAGCCAGTAGGGATCCTAGCAATATTGTCAGGATCCACCTAGCTAACAGATGGCTTTGCCTCTATAGAGCCAGCTATGTCTGTCCCCCTCCCCTGTCTGTCTCTCCAATGAATACTGGGAGGGAGGAATCCCTGCAGGGTGCAGTGACTGACAATCTCTGCTCTCTGCAGGGAGAAGACAGTGAGCTGAGTGATCAGCGGTTTGTGATTGCTCAGTTCTCCATCAATAGAGCCGGCATGTGACAGCTGCAGAGTCACACGCCAGCTCAAAGAATTGGGAGGAGTACATTTTACTCTCCCAATACTTCTACTTAATGGCAGTGGATGTATTTACAGTAAGTATGACAGTATGTATGCCAACACTGTTGGCTGACATGGAGATAGAGGTTGGCCTGTCAGAATTTTACCATGGGTCCCCATGATTTGTAGTTTTGCCCTTGTATAAAGGATTGGGGAAGTAATAAACAGTAAACGTCTTGAGCTATTTCTTCCTTATATATATTAAGTGAATGTATATTCACAACCCTACATATTTTCTCATGGAAAGCAATCACATCTAGTACAATGTGTTCTCATGCCCACTGTCTGGCTTATACCCCCCACCTTCCGTTTTGGAGGGGGAACTGTAAACAATAGTGTACTGCCACATGGCCAAGTAATCGGATGCATTTACAGGGCACACCATGAGGTATTACAGACCCCATCTGGGCCATAAACAGATCTCATACTTCTATGTGGTGGATAAGTGTACTCCACAAGCTAGTTTAGGGAGGTCTGATACTTTTCTGAATGAAACCTCAGATATTTACGAAAATATATACTGCTTGAAATAATCAGATTTTCAGGTTAAAGATGAAGAATTGTTTGCTATAGGAAAAACAAACACTTTTATTTCAGGCTTACTATGGTAGTCCAATTGTCTTTCACAAAAGGGAAAAAATATTTGCGCCAAGCAATATTTTTAGCAATATATTGTGTTGCTTCAAAGCCACTTGAATTGTAATTGCTCCATTTCAATACAAAGTGAATGTCAGCACACGCCACAAAACTCCCAGAGCATTGTGCATGCTTGGTGCTCATATTATGTGTTATGTAACATGACCCTGAAGCCACCACAGCTGCCTATCTATAGAAATAAGCTGCAGGAAATAAAGCGACCAATGAAAAATGCGAGAAGACAAAACATTAGCATCATCATTAGTACTGAAATAAAATATTAACTGGCTTCCAAAATGTGAATGGCCACAAATTGCATTTTTCTTTAAAGGAATATCTCAACTTAAAAAAAATAAAATAAATGCACACACATTGATAAAAGAAAAACATTTAATTTAACAATTATTTCCATGATGCAGTGGAGGATCCTTGCTCTCTGTGTGGAAGCAAGGGTGTCTCTGCAGAGGTCCAACGCAAGCTCTGATTGCAGAGTTGTAGGTCTGAATGAGGGCGTATCCGAGCTCTGAAGATGAAGCACTGTTCCCATACAGAGAGCAAGGGTGCTTCTGTACAACATGTTGGCAGAGAACATACTATTTTACACAGGCTGTGGCTGCTTTCTAGATGATGCAAACTGAAAACCTTCAACACCTTTTGATTGTAAGTGGAATATTTTAGCTGATTTAAACTGAAAGTTCAATTGGACTTTATGTCATGATCATGTGCAACTTTCAGGTACCCATGGATACCATATTTAAGTTTACTGTAGCCACAGTAGAACCTCATTTCTGATTGGTTGCTGTGGGTTAGTGCATTTTACACATCACCTTACTGAATAAGAACTGCTGAGTAATAAAACAGTTAACTGTGAAACGCCAAAATACAATAGGAATGATATACCCACTTACTGAGGTGGATGAGGAAGAAGAACACGCTTTGTCACAAATACACAAGTCCCCTATAATTACACAAGTGTCTGCGACAGTGAAGGTGCTTCAAGAAGCCTTCTTTTCTCATTCTACAGCTCCTTCATTACTAAACTAATAGACTTTTTATGGCATCTTATCATACTATTGTTTTATGTGATCCCTAATGCATCCACAAATGACTCTTCATATCTGATGTCCAAATCATTTACATATTCTATTGCAAAAAAGACAAACCCATGACTCCAACGTCACAGTCACTGAAAAAAGCCCAGCAACAGTTAGGACATGTAAAAAGGTACCTTTATGTAATTTCAGCAAAGTCATATTTTCTGCCCGCACAATAGTTGTCTGTGGTGACAAAACAAAACAAAAGACTATGTAACTTTCTAGCCCCCCATATTAGTGGAAGGTACATGTAGCGCCTTCCCATGATGACTCAAACCTTTCTGAGTATTATTTTCCCAACAACATCACTCTTAAACAAGGGAACATCAAAAACTTCCCAGGACAACTGTCATTAAAGATCTTCAACTGTCACTGAAGATCTTCATCACTTCCCAACACTTAGGAGCAGATTTATAAACCATTCACATTCTTCACTGTGCAAACAAGATTTAGAGCGCTGTAGGGCCACTAGATAGGAATAGGATTCCTATCTAGGAATAGGAACATAAATTGATTTTTAATACCAATTTTACTTTGCTTCAATTAAATCATGTTCTCCAGCTGAACAAAATTAAAATTACATTGTTCACCCAGTTACCAAGTCTAGCTCTTTCAACAATTAATTCCCTTGAGCTGTTAGTTGGGTCCGGTAGGAACCTGTGCTACTAATATATATATACACACACATACACACACACACACACACACACACACACACACACCCCCTATATTGCCATAGGACGCGTGCCTTTACACGCACATGAACTTTAATGGCATCCCAGTCTTTGTAGGGTTCATTATTGAGTTGGCCCATCCTTTGCAGCTAAAACGGCTTCAACTTTCCTGGGAAGGTTGTCCACAAGGTTTAGGAGTGTGTCTATGGAAATGTTTGACCATTCTTCCAGAAGAGCATTTGTGAGGTCAGGTACTGATGTTGGACGAGAAGGCCTGGCTCGCAGTCTCCGCTCTAATTCAACCCAAAGGTGTTCTATCGGGTTGAGGTCAGGACTCTGTGCAGGACAGTAAAGTTCCTCCACCCCAAACTTACTCATCCATGTGAACACATCTCCACTTCTCTAGAGTCCAGTGGCGGTGTGCTTTACATCACTGCATCCAACGCTTTGCATTGCACTTAGTGATGTAAGGCTTAGATGCAGCTGCTCGGCCATGGAAACCCATTTCATGAAGCTTTCTAAGCACTGTTGTTGTGCCTCTCTTAAGGCCGCACGAAGTTTGGAGGTCTGTAGCTATTGACTCTGCAGACAGTTGGCGACTTCTGCCCACTGTGAGCTTCAGCATGCGCTGACCCCGCTCTGTCATTTTATGTGGCCTACCACTTCGTGGCTGATTTGCTGTTGTTCCCAGGGTTGTACTCATGCATGTGGGGTGCATGCTTTCATGCTGTTTCCGCCAAATTCTCACTCTGCCATCTGCATGATGCAACTGGAAACGTGATTCATCGGACCACATGACTTTTTTCCAATGTTCCTGTGCGAATTGGAGATGTTTTATCTTGTTAACTGCAGACAGCAAAGGTGTTCGAACAGGCCTTCGGCTTCCATATCCCATACGATGCAGTGTAGGGCGAACAGTGCGTTCAGAGATCACTTGAGAGGATACCTGATTAGGATCTGCAGTAATTTGATGCACTGTTGCCCTTCTGTTGTCTTTTACCAGTCTTGCCACTCTCCATTCTGCCCTAACATTGACTAGTCGTTGACGGCCACAATTCGCACATTCAGACCCAGATTTTCACACTTTAACAACAGCTGCTCTTGAACATTTAAAGAATTCTGCTGTTTTGCTGATACTCGCTCCATGGCTCCGAGCGTCAACAATCATCCCACGTTCAAAGGCTGTTAAATCGCATTGTTTACCCATATCTTCAGAAAAAAAAATTGAATCATTCTCTA